GTTTGCAACGAGACTCGTCCCAGAGCTACGAGGGATGGGGTATGAAGAGCGCCTGAGGAATTGTGCCTTACGACACTAGAAAGAAGAAGGGAGAGGGGGGACATGATAGGAACGTATAAGATACTCAGAGGAATTGACAGAGTGGACATAGACGAAATGTTCACACGGAATAGTAACAGAACGAGAGGACATGGATGGAAGCTTGAAACTCAGATGAGTCACAGAGATGTTAGGAAGTTTTCTTTTAGCGTGAGAGTAGTGGGGAAATGGAATGCACTTCAGGAACAGGTTGTGGAAGCAAATACTATTCATAATTTTAAAACCAGGTATGATAGGGAAATGGGACAGGAGTCATTGCTGTAAACAACCGATGCTCGAAAGGCGGGATCCAAGAGTCAATGCTCGATCCTGCAGACACAACTAGGTGAGTACAACTAGGTGAGTACACACACACACACCCACACACACACCCACACACACACACACACACACACACACACACACACACACACACACACAACAAGGCAAGACAATATATAACATCTAAGACAATGTACAACAAGTGTCTTCAAACATTACTGTCTTCCTGAACCAGATTCATTTGTTATTGTTGCTAGCTCGAGGGGGGGTTGGGGGGAGTGGGGGGAGGGGGGGGGGTTTGGGGGGAAGGGTCTGGGGTTGGGGGTCAGGCCTAGGGGGGGGTTGAGGGGGGAAGGGTCTGGGGTTGGGGGTCAGGCCTGCGAGGGGTGGTTTGGGGGGAGGGGTCTGGGGTTGGGGGTCAGGCCTGGGAGGGGTTGAGGGGGGAGGGGTCTGGGGCTGGGGGTCATGCCGGGGGGGGGGGTTGAGGGGGGGACTGGTCTGGGGCTGGGGGTCAGACCAGGGGGGAGGGGTCTGGGGCTGGGGGTCAGGCCTGGGTGGGGGCTGGGGGTCAGGCCAGAGGGGGAGGGGTCTGGGGCTGGGGGTCAGGCCAGGGGGGGGGGCTGGGGTCAGGCCAGGGGGGGGCTGGGGGTCAGGCCAGAGGGGGAGGGGTCTGGGGCTGGGGGTCAGGCCAGGGGGGGAGGGGTCTGGGGCTGGGGGTCAGGCCAGGGGGGGAGGGGTCTGGGGCTGGGGGTCAGGCCAGGGGGTGAGGGCTTGTAGAACAACCCCTTCTGAATAATGCACCGCATTTTGACGCATAATTCCTCTAGGCCTAAGGCATAACACTGTTGTACAAAATACCGCAGCGACTCGCGAGATGGACGTGACGTCCCGTTTTCTGTTGGTGGGCCCTCGGGTAGGTTAGGGTCGGGCACTGTAGTACAACGGTTTAGTGAAGTTGGGAACACTGGGAAGAACAGCGTGTGCAGCATGGTGTAATGCTGTGTAGTTACCTAAGTGTAGTTACCTAAGTGTAGTTCCAGGATGAGCGACGCTCGCGGTGTCCCGTCTTCCCTGTACTCTTTGTCATAGAGTACTTGGACACTACTCACGGTCTTGGCTTCCATCCACCCCGTCCTCCTAAGGCTCCCCAGCATCCAGAAAACGGTCAATTTAAAGTGGTCTCCCCTAACCTGCCAGAGGACCCAAAACAGAAAACGGGACAGTACAAAACTTTCACCAGCCGCTTCCATTTTCTAGCACGACAAGTTGTGGCTTCCCAGAGAGGAGAGCTCCATCCCCGAGCTCTCCCGTCTTCCAGGAGTGTGTGTGTACTCACCTAATTGTGTTTGCGGGGGCTGAGCTCTGGCTCTTTGGTCCCGCCTCTCAACCGTCAATCAACTGGTGTACAGATTCCTGAGCCTACTGGGCTCTATCATATCTACATTATAAACTGTGTATGGAGTCAGCCTCCACCACATCACTGCCTAATGTATTCCACCTGTTAACTACTCCCACACTCAACAAATTCTTTTTAATGTCTCTATGGATCATTTGGGCACTCAATTTCCATCTGTGTCCCCTTGTGCGTGTGCCCCTTGTGTTAAATAAACTGTCTTTGCCTCCCTATCCTATCAATACCCTATGAACCCTATCAAGTCCTGAGAATCTTTTATGTGGTGATCATGTCCCCCCTAACTCTTCTGTCTTCCCAGTGACGTGAGGTATATTTCCTGTAGTCTCTCCTCGAAGCGCATACCCCTCAGTTCGGGTACTAGTCTGGTGGCAAACCTCTGAACCTTCTCCAATTTAGTCTTATGCTTGACTAGATATGGACTCCATGCTGGAGCTGCATACTCCAAGACTGGTCTGACATATGTGGTATACAAAGTTTTGAATGATTCCTTACACAAGTTTCTAAGGCAGTTCTTATGTTAGCCAACCTGGCATATGCCGCTGATGTTATCCTCTTGTAATGAGCTTCAGGGGACAGGTCTGGCGTGATATCAACCCCCAGGTCTTTCTCTCTCTCTGACTCTTGAAGTATTTCATCTCCCAAGTGATACCTTGTATCTGGTCTCCTGCTTCCTACTCCTATCTTCATTACATTACATTTGCTTGGGTTAAACTCTAACAACCATGTGTTCGACCATTCCTGCAGCTTGTACAGGTCTTCTTGAAGCCTCAAGCTGTCTTCCTCTGTCTTAATCTTTCTCATAATTTTGTCGTCGTCAGCAAACATTGAGAGGAATGAGTCTATACCCTCCGGCAGAGGGAAAGCACTTAACACATTTACGTATGTGTTACCAGGTTTTTTTCTCACAATCTTCTCCATCACCTTGCATGGTATACAAGTTAAGGACACTGGCCTGTAGTTCAGTGCCTCTTGTCTGTCGCCCTTTTTGTATATTGGGACCACATTAGCAGTCTTCCATATTTTTGGTTGGTCTCCCGTTTCCAGTGACCTACTATACACTATGGAGAGTGGCAAGCAAAGTGCTCCTGTACACTCTTTCATCCATAATGAGATTCTGTCCGGCCCAACAGTGTTTCTCACGTCTAGATCCCAAAGATACTTCTTGACCTCATCTCTGGTAATTTCGAACCCCTTCCAAGGTCGCCTGGTTTACTGCCACCTGTCCTAGCTCAAGGACTTCACCTCGTTCTATTGTGAAGACCTCCTGGAATTTCTTGTCGAGTTCTTCACACACCTCTTTGTCATTCTCCGTGTACCTGTCCTCACCTGTTCTAAGTTTCATTACCTGTTCTTTCACTGTTGTTCTCCTGATGTGACTGTGAAGCAGTTTTGGTTTGGTCTTGGCTTTATTTACTATATAATTTTCATGTCCGTGCGTGTGTGTACTCACACAGTTGTGCTTGCTGGAGTTGAGCTCTGGCTCATTGGGCCCGCCTCTCAACCGTCGATGTACTGGTGTACAGGTTCCTGAGCTTCTCGAGGGCTATTATATCTACATTAGAAATTGTGTATGGAGTCAGCCTCCACAGAGTCATGTGTGCGTGTGTGCGTGTATGTGTGTGTATATGAGTGCGCGTGTATGTGTGCGTGTGTGTATATATGTACCCCACCTAGTTGTGCTTGCGGGAGTTGAGCTCTGGCTCTTTGGTCCCGCCTCTCAACCGTCAATCAACAGGTGTACAAGTTCCTGAGTAATTGTGTGCGTATGTACGTGTGTGTGTGTGTGCGTGCGCGCGTGTAGGCACCGTTCCGCTACGGTGGGCACTAGGAGTGGGGGCGCCATTGTGTTCCTCTGGTAGGAAGTTATGGTGAGGAAGTCTCATGCTTTTTATATTGCCTGCGTTCATGCGCCTGTGTCCTTACCTAGTTGTGCTTGCGGGGGCTGAGCTTCGCCTTCCACACACGCCTTTCAACATCAACTGGTGCACAGGTTCCTAGGCCTATTGGGCTCTATCATATCTACATGTGAGACTGTTTATGGAGTCTGTCTCCACCACATCACTGCCTAATGATATACAGATATACAGGTTTCGTCAGTGTAAATATTTGATGAATCCCGACCTAGACGTCACTTAAGACGTTGCGTAATCACATCTTGGCTCCATTTACCTTGTAGTTGTAGAAGCAGTTCACAGCCGTCCTCATATATACGCGTACTGTGCGTCAGCCAGGCCTTCTGTACGCGCCCGTCCTGCGTCAGCCAGGCCTTCCGTACGCGCCCGGCTTGCGTCAGCCAGGCCTTCTGTACGCGCCCGGCCTGCGTCAGCCAGGCCTTCTGTACGCGCCCGGCCTGTGTACACCCGGCCTGCGTCAGCCAGGCCTTCCGTACGCGCCCGGCCTGCGTCAGCCAGGCCTTCTGTACGCGCCCGTCCTGCGTCAGCCAGGCCTTCTGTACGCGCCCGGCCTGCGTCAGCCAGGCCTTCCGTACGCGCCCGGCCTGCGTCAGCCAGGCCTTCTGTACGCGCCCGTCCTGCGTCAGCCAGGCCTTCCGTACGCGCCCGGCCTGTGTACACCCGTCCTGCGTCAGCCAGGCCTTCTGTACGCGCCCGGCCTGCGTCAGCCAGGCCTTCTGTACGCGCCCGGCCTGCGTCAGCCAGGCCTTCTGTACGCGCCCGGCCTGCGTCAGCCAGGCCTTCTGTACGCGCCCGGCCTGCGTCAGCCAGGCCTTCTGTACGCGCCCGGCCTGCGTCAGCCAGGCTTTCTGTACGCGCCCGGCCTGCGTCAGCCAGGCCTTCTGTACGCGCCCGGCCTGCGTACACCCGGCCTGCGTATACCTCCTTTGTTTACCGCGCCCAGCCCCGGCCCCACCACTCCCAGGCCCACTCCCCCACTACACCCTCTAATTTCTGCACCTCTTACAGATTTATTCCCTCAGGTTCGGTACGTTGTAATCCTTGAGGTAAGTTTGGTACGTTGAGGTAAGTTTGGTACGCTGAGGTAAGTTTGGTACGTTGAGGTAAGTTTGGTACGCTGAGGTAAGTTTGGTACGCTGAGGTAAGTTTGGTACGCTGAGGTAAGTTTGGTACGCTGCGGTAAGTTTGGTACGCTGAGGTCAGCTTGGTACGCTGAGGTAAGTTTGGTACGCTGAGGTAAGTTTGGTATGCTGCGGTAAGTTTGGTACGCTGCGGTAAGTTTGGTACGCTGCGGTAAGTTTGGTACGCTGAGGTCAGCTTGGTACGGTGAGGTAAGTTTGGTACGCTGTGGTAAGTTTGGTACGCTGACGTAAGTTTGGTACGCTGTGGTAAGTTTGGTACGCTGCGGTAAGTTTGGTACGCTGCGGTAAGTTTGGTACGCTGCGGTAAGTTTGGTACGCTGAGGTAAGTTTGGTACGCTGCGGTAAGTTTGGTACGCTGCGGTAAGTTTGGTACGTTGAGGTAAGTTTGGTACGCTGAGGTAAGTTTGGTACGCTGAGGTAAGTTTGGTATGCTGAGGTAAGTTTGGTACGCTGTGGTAAGTTTGGTACGCTGCGATAAGTTTGGTACGCTGCGGTAAGTTTGGTACGCTGAGGTAAGTTTGGTACGCTGCGGTAAGTTTGGTACGCTGAGGTAAGTTTGGTACGCTGAGGTAAGTTTGGTACGCTGAGGTAAGTTTGGTACGCTGCGGTAAGTTTGGTACGCTGAGGTAAGTTTGGTACGCTGCGGTAAGTTTGGTACGCTGAGGTAAGTTTGGTACGCTGAGGTAAGTTTGGTACGCTGAGGTAAGTTTGGTACGCTGAGGTAAGTTTGGTACGCTGAGGTAAGTTTGGTACGTTGAGGTAAGTTTGGTACGCTGAGGTAAGTTTGGTACGCTGAGGTAAGTTTGGTATGCTGAGGTAAGTTTGGTACGCTGTGGTAAGTTTGGTACGCTGAGGTAAGTTTGGTACGCTGAGGTAAGTTTGGTACGTTGAGGTAAGTTTGGTACGCTGAGGTAAGTTTGGTACGCTGAGGTAAGTTTGGTACGCTGAGGTAAGTTTGGTACGTTGAGGTAAGTTTGGTACGCTGAGGTCAGTTTGGTACGCTGCGGTAAGTTTGGTACGCTGAGGTAAGTTTGGTACGCTGCGGTAAGTTTGGTACGCTGAGGTAAGTTTGGTACGCTGCGGTAAGTTTGGTACGCTGAGGTAAGTTTGGTATGCTGCGGTAAGTTTGGTACGTTGAGGTAAGTTTGGTACGCTGAGGTAAGTTTGGTACGCTGAGGTAAGTTTGGTACGCTGAGGTAAGTTTGGTACGTTGAGGTAAGTTTGGTACGCTGAGGTAAGTTTGGTACGTTGAGGTAAGTTTGGTACGCTGAGGTAAGTTTGGTACGCTGAGGTAAGTTTGGTACGCTGAGGTAAGTTTGGTACGCTGCGGTAAGTTTGGTACGCTGAGGTAAGTTTGGTACGCTGAGGTAAGTTTGGTACGCTGAGGTAAGTTTGGTACGCTGAGGTAAGTTTGGTACGCTGCGGTAAGTTTGGTACGCTGCGGTAAGTTTGGTACGCTGCGGTAAGTTTGGTACGGTGCGGTAAGTTTGGTACGCTGAGGTAAGTTTGGTACGCTGAGGTCAGTTTGGTACGCTGCGGTCAGTTTGGTACGCTGAGGTCAGTTTGGTACGCTGAGGTAAGTTTGGTACGCTGAGGTCAGTTTGGTACGCTGAGGTAAGTTTGGTGCGGTGCGGTAAGTTTGGTACGGTGCGGTCAGTTTGGTACGCTGAGGTCAGTTTGGTACGCTGAGGTAAGTTTGGTACGCTGCGGTAAGTTTGGTACGCTGAGGTCAGTTTGGTACGCTGAGGTAAGTTTGGTACGCTGCGGTCAGTTTGGTACGCTGAGGTCAGTTTGGTACGCTGAGGTAAGTTTGGTACGCTGAGGTAAGTTTGGTACGGTGTGGTAAGTTTGGTACGCTGCGGTCAGTTTGGTACGCTGAGGTCAGTTTGGTACGCTGAGGTAAGTTTGGTACGCTGAGGTAAGTTTGGTACGCTGCGGTAAGTTTGGTACGCTGCGGTAAGTTTGGTACGCTGAGGTCAGTTTGGTACGCTGAGGTCAGTTTGGTACGCTGAGGTCAGTTTGGTACGCTGCGGTCAGTTTGGTACGCTGCGGTCAGTTTGGTACGCTGCGGTCAGTTTGGTACGCTGAGGTAAGTTTGGTACGCTGAGGTCAGTTTGGTACGCTGCGGTCAGTTTGGTACGCTGAGGTCAGTTTGGTACGCTGCGGTCAGTTTGGTACGCTGCGGTCAGTTTGGTACGCTGAGGTCAGTTTGGTACGCTGCGGTCAGTTTGGTACGCTGAGGTCAGTTTGGTACGCTGAGGTCAGTTTGGTACGCTGCGGTCAGTTTGGTACGCTGCGGTCAGTTTGGTACGCTGAGGTCAGTTTGGTACGCTGAGGTAAGTTTGGTACGCTGCGGTAAGTTTGGTACGCTGAGGTCAGTTTGGTACGCTGAGGTCAGTTTGGTACGCTGAGGTCAGTTTGGTACGCTGAGGTAAGTTTGGTACGCTGAGGTAAGTTTGATGCGCTGTGGTAAGTTTGGTACGGTGCGGTAAGTTTGGTATGCTGTGGTAAGTTTGATGCGCTGTGGTAAGTTTGGTACGCTGCGGTAAGTTTGGTATGCTGTGGTAAGTTTGATGCGCTGTGGTAAGTTTGGTACGCTGCGGTAAGTTTGGTACGCTGTGGTAAGTTTGGTACACTGCGGTAAGTTTGGTACACTGCGGAAAGTTTGGTACCCAGTGGTAAGATTGGTACGCTGCGGTAAGTTTGGTACACTGCGGTAAGTTTGGTATGCTGTGGTAAGTTTGGTACGCTGCGGTAAATTTGGTATGCTGTGGTAAGTTTGATGCGCTGTGGTAAGTTTGGTATGCTGCGGTAAGTTTGATGCGCTGTGGTAAGTTTGGTACGCTGCGGTAAGTTTGGTATGCTGTGGTAAGTTTGGTATGCTGCGGTAAGTTTGGTACGCTGCGGTAAGTTTGGTACACTGCGGTAAGTTTGGTACACTGCGGTAAGTTTGGTACGCTGCGGTAAGTTTGGTACGCTGCAGTAAGTTTGGTACACTGCGGTAAGTTTGGTACGCTGCGGTAAGTTTGGTACGCTGCGGTAAGTTTGGTACGCTGTGTCAGGTTTGTACGGTTCAGCCAACAATATTCTCTAACACCGTTAGTGGAAGGGAACTCCAGTCATTATCCCAACAGTAGACATGATAGAGGAACTGGTCAGTAGTCATTGCATTAGACAGCCGACGGCAAGACAGGCGAGGCCCAAGCGCTAAAGTTCGATCCTGCAAGCACAGTTAGCGAGTACACGCGCGTGCGCACACACCCCAAGTTCTTGGCGGGAGACGTGTGTGTAAACAAGGCAATACAACAATTGGAAGATGAATAGGTGCTTAAGGCGGTAATGGTTAAAGTTCTAGGCGGAGAGTCGCCCATATCACCCCTGGAGAACACCTATGTTTCATCCATCCACTCATGATGCTCTGCCTAGGTGTGTGTATATTATATTATATATATATAAATATATATATATATATATATATATATATATATATATATATATATATATATATATATATATATATATATATATATATATATATTATTAAATATGACCGAAAAAGTAGGATTAATAATTCTAACATGAATTTTCTCAATGTTTCTTTGATTTTTTTCACTGTTGATGGTAACTGAAAAATCAATTCTCCAAAATTCATTTTTATTTCTAGTCTGACGCGACACTTGAGCGCGTTTCGTAAAACTTATTACATTTTCAAAGACTTTAGTTTACACACACAACTGAAACTGAACAGAGCTTAAACATCCTCGATTTTATACCTGCATTTGGGTGAGGTGATATGTTACAACAGTTTTGGACGAGGTGAAAACATACTTTCAACACAAGACAGAACACGAAACAATGGGTATGTAATGTAATAAGTAATGTAATAAATGTAATAAGTTTTACGAAACGCGCTCAAGTGTCGCGTCAGACTAGAAATAAAAATGAATTTTGGAGAATTGATTTTTCAGTTACCATCAACAGTGAAAAAAATCTAAGAAACAATGAGAAAATTCGCATTAGAATTATTAATCTTACTTTTTCGGTCATATTTAATAATATATGTCTACAGGAAAGACTGCTACCAAAATATACTAATATATATATATATATATATATATATATATATATATATATATATATATATATATATATATATATATATATATATATATATATATATATATATACATATATATATTACACAATAACACCACCCTTTCATTATATGTTATGATATCACCTCCTGCCATCTTCTTCTACCATCAAAACCTGTTATCTCTACTCCCCCCCCCCATCCCTTCTGTTTCTGTTTACTGATACGCTTTGTCAACCCCTCCCCCATCCCTCTCCTCCACCCCCCTGCCCCACCTCCACACTCCACCCCTGCCCCACCTCCACCCCAACCCTGCCTCACCTCCATCCCCCTGCCTCACCTCCACCCCCAACCCTGCCCCACCTCCTCCCCCAACCCTACCCCACCTCCACCCCCAACCCTGCCCCACCTCCCAGCCAGCCCCACCTCCCCCCCCCCCCCGCTTGCTTCCTAGTACTTGTGCAAAAACTGGCTCTCAGAAGTTTACCATGTGGCCGGATGGCTCCCAGAGGTATACCTTGGGGCCGGGTGGATGACCCCCCCCCCCCGCCAATAGTATACCCTGAGGTGAAGGTGGGTGGCCCACCTAGCCAGGTGGGTGACCACAGAGGTATACCTTGTAGCCAGGTGGGTGACCACAGAGGTATACCATGTAGCCAGGTGGGTGACCCCAGAGGTATACTTTGTGGCCAGGTGGGTGACCCCTGAGGTATACCTTGTAGCCAGGTGGATGACCCCTGAGGTATACCTTGTAGCCAGGTGGGTGACCACAGAGGTATACCTTGTGGCCAGGTGGGTGACCCCAGAGGTATACTTTGTGGCCAGGTGGGTGACCCCTGTATACCTCAGGTATACCTCAGGCCACCCTGAGGTATACCTGGGGTATACACCTCTGGGGTGGGTGACCCCAGAGGTATACCTTGTGGCCAAGTGGGTGACCCTAGAGGTATACCTTGTAACCAGGTGGGTGACCCCAGAGGGGTCAGCCTTCCAAGCTGCTTTGAAAATGTTTAAAATTACCAGAGATGATGTTGGGAGTAACCTTCTGAAACGACGTGAGAAGATGCTATTGGACCAAACACAATGTCAACATAGATACTAAATGAGGCTGCAGAAGCACTATGCATGGTAAACTATGGCCTATAATAGATCCCTGGTAACAGTCGACCTGCCAGAAAGTTCAAAGACAGCTGACAGAGTCCTAATCTGCAAAGAAAACGGTGACAGGCCGAAGTCAGTGCCATTAACTTGTATACTACGGCTGGTAATGGAGAAGATAAGCTGGTAGCACATGTGGAGAAGGGAATTTTGTAACATACCATGAACATAGGTTCAGGGATGGTCAGTTGTGCTTCACAGGTTTAAGAGAATTCTGTCACCAGGCGACAAAAGGTTGACAAAGGAAGGGAGGGCAGACTGCAATTTTCTTGGACTGTCAGAAAGGATTTGACACTACCCCATAAGAGGCTCTTGTATGTATAGGAGTCTTTTGTGTGTACAGATAGCTGTTGTATGTATAGGAGTCTTTTGTGTGGGCCGGAAGCGTGTGTATGTATGGGAAGCTTGTCTATGTATTGAAGACTTCAGCAAGATCAGGAGGCTTATGTATGTACAAGAAGCCTTGGTGAGCGCAGTGTGAAGCTTGTGTGGTACATAATCTTATGGCTGGTTATAGTTAACACAGTGAAGCTTTTATAGGCATCTTCCCAGTGTAGGACCCGTCCTACAGTCCCCCCCCCCGGGTGGTCAAGAGACATCTTCCCAGTGTGGGACCCGTCCTACAGTCCCCAGGTCCCCCCCCCCCGGGTGGTCAAGAGACATCTTCCCAGTGTGGGACCCGTCCTACAGTCCCCCCCCCGGGTGGTCAAGAGACATCTTCCCAGTGTGGGACCCGTCCTACAGTCCCCCCCCCCCGGGGGGTCAAGAGACATCTTCCCAGTGTGGGACCCGTCCTACAGTCCCCAGGTCCCCCCCCCCGGGGGGTCAAGAGACATCTTCCCAGTGTGGGACCCGTCCTACAGTCCCCAGGTCCCCCCCCCCGGGTGGTCAAGAGACATCTTCCCAGTGTGGGACCCGTCCTACAGTCCCCAGGTCCCCCCCCGGGTGGTCAAGAGACATCTTCCCAGTGTGGGACCCGTCCTACAGTCCCCAGGTCCCCCCCCGGGTGGTCAAGAGACATCTTCCCAGTGTGGGACCCGTCCTACAGTCCCCCCCCCCCCGGGTGGTCAAGAGACATCTTCCCAGTGTGGGACCCGTCCTACAGTCCCCAGGTCCCCCCCCCCCGGGTGGTCAAGAGACATCTTCCCAGTGTGGGACCCGTCCTACAGTCCCCAGGTCCCCCCCCCGGGGTGGTCAAGAGACATCTTCCCAGTGTGGGACCCGTCCTACAGTCCCCAGGTCCCCCCCCCCGGGGTGGTCAAGAGACATCTTCCCAGTGTGGGACCCGTCCTACAGTCCCCAGGTCCCCCCCCCGGGTGGTCAAGAGACATCTTCCCAGTGTGGGACCCGTCCTACAGTCCCCAGTCCCCCCCCCCCCGGGTGGTCAAGAGACATCTTCCCAGTGTGGGACCCGTCCTACAGTCCCCAGTCCCCCCCCCCCGGGTGGTCAAGAGACATCTTCCCAGTGTGGGACCCGTCCTACAGTCCCCAGTCCCCCCCCCCCGGGTGGTCAAGAGACATCTTCCCAGTGTGGGACCCGTCCTACAGTCCCCAGGTCCCCCCCCCCCGGTGGTCAAGAGACATCTTCCCAGTGTGGGACCCGTCCTACAGTCCCCCCCCCCCGGGTGGTCAAGAGACATCTTCCCAGTGTGGGACCCGTCCTACAGTCCCCCCCCTGGGTGGTCAAGAGACATCTTCCCAGTGTGGGACCCGTCCTACAGTCCCCCCCCCCCCCGGGGTGGTAAGAGACATCTTCCCAGTGTGGGGACCCGTCCTACAGTCCCCCCCCCCCCGGGTGGTCAAGAGACATCTTCCCAGTGTGGGACCCGTCCTACAGTCCCCCCCGGGTGGTCAAGAGACATCTTCCCAGTGTGGGACCCGTCCTACAGTCCCCCCCCCCCCGGGTGGTCAAGAGACATCTTCCCAGTGTGGGACCCGTCCTACAGTCCCCCCCACCGGGGGGTCAAGAGACATCTTCCCAGTGTGGGACCCGTCCTACAGTCCCCCCCCGGGGGGTCAAGAGACATCTTCCCAGTGTGGGACCGGTCCTACAGTCCCCCCCCCCCGGGTGGTCAAGAGACATCTTCCCAGTGTGGGACCCGTCCTACAGTCCCCCCCCCGGGTGGTCAAGAGACATCTTCCCAGTGTGGGACCCGTCATACAGTCCCCAGGTCCCCCCCCCCCCCGGGTGGTCAAGAGACATCTTCCCAGTGTGGGACCCGTCCTACAGTCCCCCCCCCCGGGTGGTCAAGAGACATCTTCCCAGTGTGGGACCCGTCCTACAGTCCCCAGGTCCCCCCCCCCCCCCCCCGGGTGGTCAAGAGACATCTCCCAGTGTGGGACCCGTCCTACAGTCCCCCCCCCCCCCCCCCCCGGGGTGGTCAAGAGACATCTTCATCTCAACTTGTGCAGTTCGAAGCTTTTCAGTTCAGGTGTACCGTTATTCTCTTGTATTGTGGTACTGTAATTAGTGTGTGTGTTCACCTGTTAG